GTAGTTCGCCGCGCCCCCGGCCCCCCGGCCCCCGGCCTCGGCCCACCTGCAAGTGGAGGCACCCCTTCCTCAGCACCTCCTGGCAGCTCTTCCCCGCTACCCCAAACTTCTTCTGGCTGTGCAGGGCCCGCAGCTTGAACGTCTTGGGCTTCCGCAACACCGTAAACATCCTCAGGGCCCCCGACCCCGCAGGCCACGCCTGCTTGGTCCGCCGCTCAGGCGCGTCCTCACCGGGATCGCGGGGGTCGGCTCCTGGAGGACTCCACGAAGAGGACGAAGGTCGCGCGCCGCCCCCAGGAAACTACATTACCCAGAAGGCCCGGGGAGCAGAGGCGCCTGGTGCACAGGCGTCGTTTCCCCGGAAATTTCATTAGCGTGCTCAGAAGTCCCGGGCAAGGGGAGGCGCGGCCCCGCCTGGTGCGCAAACGCCCTTTCCCCGGAGACTACATTACCCAGAAGGCCCGAGACGCGGGGACAGGAACACCGCCTTGAGCGCAGGCGCGGCTGGGCACGGCGGGATCGCGCAGGCGCGGAGGGGTCTGGTTGTCATGAGAGCGGCGGCCGCGGCCTGGGCGCTGAGCGTAGGCGGCCGGGGCTGCTCCTCGGCTGCCACCGGCACTGCGGCTCCGGTTTGCGGACCCTCCCAGGACAGCGGAGGCGGCGCCACCTGAGCTCCGCCGAAGGCGCGGCTCTGCCAAGGGTCGGCGGAAGGCCCTGAGGGTCGTGCGGCCGCCGAGGTCCGGGAGGCCTTCTGTCCCGCATACCCGAGTCCCAGGGACGCGCCGACCGGAGCTTCCCAACAGGTACCCGGGCTGCCCGGGAGGGCGGGCTCGGGGGCCCAGGGGCTGGGCGCCCACTTGCGGGTCGCTGGGCCGCGCTGCCGCGGGGTGCGGCCCGGGTGGGGCTCACGGCTGCGGGGTGCGGGCCCCCGGCCGGTGGTCCGGAGCGCTGCCTGCGCGCTGCGCCACAGCCCACCCCGGTCCCCGCGGTCGCCTCCGCTCGGTTCCTTGTGTTGAGCGTCGGATCCTGCTCTCGCGTCGCGACTTCTGTGCTCCGATAGTGACCCAGAGCTCCGTGACTCGAGGGAGGGAAGAAGGCGGCTCTGCGGCGCGCAGGCTCCATTCGCGAGCTTTCATTTATTTAGTTATCGTGTTTCTCTTCAATTTCAGATAGTCTCACAGGCACTTCCAACCCTTCAGATTACTTGACCAAAAAGCACTTAATTATGTAGCACTTAACAAAAATGGAAACAAGTTTTGTCTCCTAGTTTTGTAGCAAATGCTTGGAATGTGCTAAATTGTTTCGATTTAATTTATAGATGTCGTTACCCCTGATACATACTGAAAAGCTGACTTCAAGGAAGGAAGTTACCTTTCTCCGAGCTGTGTAGTCAGGGAGCAGAGGAGAGGCACTGCCGCCTCGGAGACGTGCCAGGCGACCCTTGCTGGTGATGAGGGTCCATGTGCACTAGGGCAGCCGGGGTCCCCGTGCTAATAACAGCACTCCGCAGAGCCTTGGTTCTTCCCAAAATGTCAGTGGTGATTTTTATAGAGCCTCTTAGTAGCGTCTTTTAGTGACACCCCAATGTTTTATTTGACCCTTGAAGGTTTATACAAAGGGGATCTTGGGGTACAACGTGGAAGGGCTTTGGAAGGGGGTGACCAAGACGGAGTCCATTTCAAATACCCAAACTGAGGTCGAGGGCCCAGGATTTTCTCCTACCAGGTGCCTGATGCCAGAGCTGTGCTTGGGATTTATTCAGGCGGCCTGGTAGAGGGGGCACGTCTGTGTGGATTTAAAAGGTCCTCTGCTCAAGTCTCAGCGCCACAGCGGAAGGTGCTGGTCGTGATCACGTGATCACGGGCTCTGGAACCCGACCAGCTGACCAGCTGAGATCAAGCCCTGTCCGCCTGGCTCACTAGCTGGACGCCCCTGGGCATGGCCTCTCTGTCTGTGCCTCAGTTTCCTTGTCCCTATGTCCGAGTTGTTATGAAGGTATGAATATGTGTCCAGTGCTGAGGACAGTCCCTGGCCCACAGCAAGTGTCCTCAGGCCTGTGTGTCCACCCGCAGCCACCAGAGCCGGGTCAGGGAGCGAGCCCGCGCGTGCCGGGCAGTGCGAGTGCTGCTCCAGGCCTTCAGAAGGCCAAGACCTGTGATCACGTTCAGCTGAGAACACTGAACAGCTACCTGCTGTTGTCAAGGTGGGCTAGGCAGTCACCCCTGCTCCTCAAGGCGGAGGAAGGACTTGGGAATTCAGAGCACAGGGATTTAACTTGGAGTTTTAGTGAGTTTGGCTGGGCTTTAGAATTCATGACAGAAGTAGGGTTGGAACAGCAAATTGGGTCCAGACGGAGAGGTGAGCCTTCTACCCTGGGCAGAGAGCCCGTTGAGGGTTCTTGAGTTAGGACATGGGTGGCGATGGCCCGAGCTGGTCCTGAGCGGGGTTCGTCAGGCAGGAGCATAGGATGAGCGGGCAGGGAGTGCTCCAGGCAGGAAGACCTGGCTGCTGTCTGGAAAAGAAAGTGCACAGAGAAGAGGGGAGGTGTTCAAGCACCGGTCCAAAGGCGGGACCCATGAGACTTGGTACTTAATGGGTGGGGGAGGGGAGATGCAGCAGCCCAGCTCCGTCCTGGCATGGGGTGCTGGGAACACGGGGTGGGGGGGGGGCTGTGCAGCTTAGCGTGGATTAAACCACACGCCACATTTTTTGTGCTTGCTTTTCATTATTTTCTGGGTTAGCTTTTTCCTTTACTATATTGTGACATCCTGCAGTGAGCTTTGCATAAAAAGTAGCTAGGACCTTTAATAATTATTGATCTTCCTATTTTTAATGCTTTGCTCATACATTTCCAAGAAACATTAGTGGGTGCCAGGCATTAACTATTGGGTTGTCGGAAAAGTCATGACGTATTTTTTCTATGTTTTTCGTTGCAAAAATGTGTCACGACTTTTCCGACAGCCCAAAAATTTATTGACGTGGTCTTCTTCAGGTTCTCAAAGAAAGTAAAAGAAAGATCTAGATCATGCATCAAGCATGTTAAGATAACCAAAACTTCAAGGAGATATGTTTATATGTTACCTGCTATGGAGAATTTCAATACTGTGTCCCATCCCAGAGAACTTTCTGGAGCGTTCTTGATCCTCTATTTAACTGAGGAATCTCTTGGCTGCAGATACTCACACCTGACTCAGATTGGCTTACTGGAGAGGAGCTTGACTGGCTGAGTAGCGGGAAGGTAACCGGAAGAGCATGTATACTTGGACTTAAATGTGGCTGAGCCTAAGGCTCACCAGGCCTCTGCCTCTCCCAGCATGTTAGGCCCCCACAGCTACTATCCTGCAGCCCCAGTCCCCGCGGGAAGGAGGTGTCTGTTTCCCGGTAGCCCCAGCAAAGCCCTGGGATTGAGAGGCACCGGGCCAGTTTGGTCCTATTCTCATGCCCCATCCCTGAACCAGTTACTGAGGAGGGATGTGGAACTCAGACCCACCAAGCCTGGGAGATGTGGGGAGCTGAGGAGTGCAGCCTGGGGTGGCAGCCCCACAGACCCGGTGTGGGGAGGGCAGGTCACCAAGGGACACTGATTGGTGTGCTGTTTTCAGTCCAGGACGGGAAGGACACCAGCAGGCAAGGTAGACACCACACATCCACCCTCAAAACGATGACCTGTAACTATGAACGAAACCCCGTTCGCTAAACAATCATAACATAAAAATACCATTTGACCATATGTAAAGACCTCCGGAGTCAGTCACTCACCAGGCTCCATCTGTGCTTCTGCGCCATGTCTCTGATCATACATTTGCACTTAGCACTTACTATGCTGCTGATTACAAAGTCTCTTTTTCTCCCTTATTTTTGTAGAACTTATTAACTTACTGGTTATATTAGTTTCTTAACTTAAAAAAAAATTCTTTGTATCTTAGCCAAAAACCTTGTTTTGGCCATAACAAAGTACCACAAACTGGATGACTCAAAACAGCGAACACTTATTCTGGAGGCTAGAGGTCCGGAATCCAGGCGTCGCAGGCCGCGCTCACTCTGCAGGCGCGAGCGGAGCGTCCTCCCTGCCTCTCCCGCTGCTGCCGCTTACCAGCAGTCCTTGCCGTTCCTCAGCTGGTTGATGCCTTGCTTCAGTGGCTCCACTGTTGTCACATGGCCTTCTTCCCATCTGTGTGTCTGTCTCTTTTCTTATGAGGACACCAGTCGTTTGGTGTAGGGCCCACCCTACTCCAGCACAACCCCATCTTTATTATGTCTGCAAAGACCCGTTTCTAAATATGATCACATTCACAGGAGGACTTAAGCATTTGCGGGGGGTGGGGGAGCACAATTCAACCCACAACACCAGTCAAACTTTTTGGACATATATTTGGGAAAAGTCAAGATAATTTAAATGACCCCTACATAGAATTAGAGGCTCCCGTAAAAAGCACTTAACAAAAAACTGAAATCTTTCAAAGTGACGGGGAAATTCTGAAGATGTGAGTGACTCTGTGTATTAGCAAGGCATGAACTAGCACTGCAATGTGATAATATGCTAATATGTCACTAAGTCCCTTTATTTTGATGTTTATAAACAGCCCCAGTACACAGAATGCCCCACAAGATCGGATTCGTCGTCGTCAGCTCATCTGGACACGAAGACGGCTTCAGCGCCCGGGAACTAATGATCCACGCACCTACCGTCAGCGGGTGGAGGTCCCCAAGGTGGGCTGGACAAGGGACAGGGGCTGGGGGCGGCACGGGCTCTCAAGCAGGAGGGCTCCTTTCATTCTTAGCGTCTTTGTTACAACTCAGACGGCAGAACCATGGGGTTGTCAGGCAGTGCTGCAGCGTCATCTCTCTGGTTATGTGATGCGTTTCCTCCTCCTGCTTATGTTTTTTGTTTGTTTTGTTTGTTTGTTTGTTTTTATTGGGGAAGGGGAACAGCCAAGTTGTTGTCCTTCAGTCTTCATTGTGGAGGGCGCAGCTAGCTCAGCTCCAAGTCCAGTCACTATCCAGCCGCCCATCGGCAACTCACGGCAGCTCAGCTCAAGGTGCCCTGTTCAGCCTTAGTTGCGGGTGAGCATAGCCCACCATCCCATGTGGGAGCTGAACCAGCAGCCTTGTTGTTGGCAGCACGTGCTCTTACCAACTGAGCCATCCTGCCACCTGTTGGCAGCTCAGCGGCAGCTCAGCTCAGAGGCAGCTCACTAGCCCATGTGTGAATTGAACCGGCAACCCTGTTGCTCAGAACCTGCGCTCTTAACCAACTGAGCCACTTGGCCGGCCCCTCTGCTTATGTTTTTAAAGAAAAGTTGTTGGATCTTTTCCCCTCATAACATTAGCCCGTGTTCACTTCAGAAATGTGTAAATACACAAGAGGAGAAGTAAGGTCGTGACCCTCACCCCAAGTTGTTGAACTGTGTTCCCTGATCGCCCGCTGGGGCTCACTCATGGTGTCGTCCGTGTTCTGGGCAGGGGTTTGCGTTGGCAGGTTTCTTAGATTTACGGCTGTGCTCCTGTGCTAAGCCGTTGCATCTGACTGCTCTAATGTAACACCAAGCTCAAACCAAGAAGGTCTCTTCCAGGCTTGTCTCGGATATTTGTACACCTTAAAAATGTTCATTACTGGAGAAGTGTAACACTAGTTAGTGTTTCTCTGAACACTTAAGTCTTCCCTGAGCGGCCTTCCTTCCTCAGCAAAGGGAGAGTTCAGGGTGTTAATGTGCTGTGTCACCTCCAAGAAAATTAGGAGCCCCAATATGGACAGTCATGGCCGCCCCCTCCAGCCAACTGAGCACCTGTGGTTGGCACTCACTCATTCAATACTGGGCGTTGCTGTTAACTCCTAACCCAGGAGTCTGTGAGTCTGTGGTTCTCGGCAGTGTTTAGGCTTCTGTGGAACCTCTGGCCCTCTCTTGCATACTCATACTGCTTCTTAAGATTATGTTTATCTTGTGAGAAACGTCAGGTCTCACTTCAGACCATTTCCTAGCTCCTAAAGTGATTCTCATTGGCAGGCAGGCAGGTCAAATGGAGTCCTGACTCCGAGTTTCAGGTCCAGTCCTGAAGCCTGCAGAGGGCAGGTGTAGAGTCGCTGCTCCCCCATGTCATCAGCACCTGGGGACTGTCAGCTTTGCAGGTGCTGGGCAAGCGTGCGTTATGTGCACGAGTGGGTGCGAGCATGCAGAAACCCTCTGTGGCGACCGTGCGGAAAAACCAAATGTGGTTGCTTTCAGATTTTGCCAGTTTCCACAAGAAATTGTCCTGCAGATGGTGGAGAGGTGTCGCATAAGAAAGCTGCAGCTGCTTGCCCACCAGTACATGATCTCCAGCAGGGTGGAGTTCTACATCAGCGAGAGCCTGCCCGAGTACTTCGCGCCGTATCAGGCAGAGCGTTTTCGAAGACTCGGGTAAGAGGGAAATTTTAAGCTTATAATGACGACTTTCAGCCTGACCCAAAGCCACTAAAAACTAATGAACTGCTCCTTCCTCTTGGTCCATGTTACATACTTGTATTTGGGTCAGGATTATGCGATCTCTTAACACCTGCCTCATACATATTAATAAGCTGTGTTATCATTTTTACCCAGAGTTTTCAGCCCCACTTGTCAGATGCAGGACTTCAGAATACTAATTAGAACTTGACTTCGGGCCCTTTTCGTAGGATATTTCATTCTAGACTTAGCATTCATTTAAGCCTAGTGAGTTCAGTGGGCCCCGAAGGGCCATTTCGTATCAACCTGATGCTTGAACTCTGCTGCTTCTTTCAGCTATGTCTCTCTCTGTGACAACGAGATGACGGGCTGCAAAGCCCGGGAGCTTAAATCGGTTTATGTGGATGCAGTAGGCCAGTTTCTTAAACTGATTTTTCACGAAAACCACGTAAACAAATACAACATATATAATCAGGTAAGATTCACACGCCTTCCCCTCCGACGACTCCCCAGCTCTTTGTAGGGTTACGTCGTCCTGGGTCTTTTCAAAATGTCATCTTTCCTGGAGGAACGTTAAGCTCTGCTGAGGGAGCCGCTGGCCTGTGCAACTGGGCACCCTGGGAGCGTGTGGTGGGGTGAAGGCGTGCTGAGGCAGGGCTGTGGCTGGGAGGGTGACTCTCCACCCCTCCCTTCCCCCCACCCCTGCGTGTGCTCACCAGTAACATCCGGTCCATAATGCAGCTACATGATGCTCAGGGAAGGGGATGGGACAGGACGCCTGCCCCTCAGGAGAATCACTGACTTAGACAATTTGGGTTTTCATTTCATTTCACTTCATTACCAAGATCGTATAGTATCACCCCAAACTTGACCTTGAGTGGATGGCTCCATGCAAGGCTATGTTAAAACTGGGAGATTTTTAGCTATTATTGTTTTAAGATCCTTTAAACATTAAAATAGCCACTCGGTTCAGCATGAGAATATTAACTTATATCGTTTCTAATAGCCATTATTAATAATTCTTTCTGTACATGAGCATGATGCTTTACAAAGAATGTGCTTTGACATATGTCGTCCCATGTGAGAACAGTATGGGTCGGCAGTTTGTTATTAAAGACGTTAGGTTATTGCCGACATTTTATACTTAATTTCTTTCTTAGGTTGCTTTGGTTGCAATAAACATCATTGGAGACCCTGCAGATCTCAGCGATGAAAGCAATATTGTAAGTTTGGCAAGTTTCATTCCTAAAGAAGAGAATTTAGTTCTGGCAGGAGAAGAGCACTTATTTTTGTCACAGAAAGTGTCATCTTAAAAATCGTTATAAAATTGACTGGTGAATAGCTATTAAACTTTCTGCTACTGAGTTGTAGCTCTCCCTTCAAAAGACAAGAATCGTTGACGCTTGCTGACGTCTCTGTATCAAACCATGTCCCAGTTAAGCTTTGGTGCTGTTTCTTCTCTGAGATACTAAGCAGAAATTCTTGTTCCCCAAGGCGTCTAGAGAGAAGCTGATTGATCATTACCTGGGGCCCAACACAGAGGACCCGGCTCTGGAAGGCACTTGTACTGGGTAAGAGTCCCGCCCATAAGGCAAGAAACTTCTGGGCCTGTCCTGCGACTCGCCAAGTATGAGTCCCCGCCACAGGATGCCCAGTCCGAGGGCCTCCGAGCGCCGCTTAGAGTGAGGTCAGCCACTGACGAGATCGTCGGAAATACACTGAAAGATTAAGGTCGCTATTTTACTGAGCACGTCTTTATTTCCTGTGCGATCAGTTATTACTAGAAGGTTCCTAAAATGCATTCGGGAAAAAGATCCACCAGCCATCCCTTGGTATTTTATTGGCACAGGCAGATTCACAGGCAAAAATGAAAGGTCTTAACTGACCCAAATTGTCAGTTCCTGGAGGCTTCATCTTATGTCTGCTCGAAAACTCTGTTCTTTAAGGTAGTGAGAGGTACGTACGGCAGCAGTTTTACAGGCACAGTGTTTGCCGGTCCCTCTCCACCGCCCTCGCATCACCAGCTTTATGTTCCATTGGCTTGGCTGCCTCTGGTCTCAGAGCATCAGGACTCTCGGCAGGTCAGAGTCGGGGGAAGCTGAGGAGCCCCGTTTCCACGTTCCTTTTCGCCCCCTGCTCCCGGGGCACGTCTGTGGAATGGAGAGCGCCTTCGGCACCCGGCACCTGCCCACTGCTATTAAAGCGAGGACCCCCCCCCCCACAAAGGTGCCCGTAAACGAAACGAGCTCAAGACGATGCCCAGCCCCTCCCCTGACAGCAGCTTCCCCATAAAGGAAAGGTAAACACTCCGATTTTCACAGAAGGGTGGAATTCGCCCATAACTTCTGGTGTAATTCCACTTCCGCTTCACATGGTCAGAGCTGTGACACAGAGTAATTAATACTCAGGCGGCTCTTCTGTTTGCACAAAATATGGAGCAGATTTTCTCTGGTCGCTCAGGAGCCATGGGCTCCCCTGAGTATGTGCACCAGTGGACCGTGAGCCTGGCTCCCTGTAGAGGCCCCCGCCCTTCCCTGCAGGCCTGGTCTTCATGGGAACCCCTGAGCCTGAAAGAGGCGGACCCAGGGCCATCATCAAAACTAATGATAGGGCCGGCCGAGTGGCTCAGTTGGTTAGGAGCTCGCTCAAGAGTTTGAGCTCTGAGCAACAGCAGTTCAATTCCCGGCCCAAGCTGAGCAGCCGCTGAGCTGCCAACAGGCGGCAGGATGACTCAGCTTAAAAACAAAACAAAAAAACTAATGATAAAAAGCTACTTACGCCCCAACACAAGCTCCTCAGTCTCTGCCCAGACCCTTCCATCCACGCCTGCTGGACAATAACAGGACCCTCCTTACCCTTCCAGGTGGGGTTAGAAACACTTTGGGGAG